TTGAAAGTTTTTTCTTGACTAAGTTTAAAATTAGTATAGAAGGATGATTTTTTGTAGTTATTATTTAAGTAAAGCCACCAATTATAAAACATTAAAAAATTCTAATAAAAATTTTATTTAATTAGACATTGGTAATAAAATTTTCATCTACTAGAATTAGATTGGCTAGTATTTCTCAGAGTGGACTTTCGTGGCAACAATTTATGACAAGAAATTCTAATACAAACAAAATGCTTCTACCCGATATTATTTCAATCATACAAAATTCTAATTTTTGAAGTTAACTTTATGAACTTTAGGATTTGCTATATCCTTTGTGCTATGTACTAAATAATTTCAGAAAGATGTTGCAAGACTGTATGAGATCGTACATTGTTTTGGATAGTTTATTAAGGTTTTTTCAAACCTTAAAGATGAAAATTTTGCAGATCATATGGTCACCCAATTAGAAAATCAGTAGCCTCAATGAGAACAGCCACTACTCTTACTATTATTTGTTTTATATCTGAAATATTGGCTTTCCAAGTTTTTTTTTCGTGTTTTTGGCCTTTTCTATATACATTTTAGTCAATAGTTGTATTATTATTACTATGTATAGTTCGAGGAAATACTAATATATATTTTACACGAAATTTTATTATATCAGAGAGAAGCATTTCCTTTTAATAAAGAGACTTACAACCAGTTTGATAAAAATATTATTAATTTTTAGGATTCAGCAAAGGGTATTGTACTAGAATTGTCTTATCTAGCCTTACAATTATTTAGAATATATGTTAATTTGGCTTCAGTTAAAAGATTATAATCAACTATAGATTTTTTTTATACGAACTGCTAAAATTGTTTACCAGTATGTCCAAATATTTATTTTATTTTAATTTTTTATAGTATATAGTATTAATTTAAATTTATTATTTTAAGTATAAAAAAGTACTAGCAATAAGCCAATTATATGATGACATACTAAGCAAGCAAAAATGTAGTGATATTGAAATATCTGAACAACAATATAAAAAAATTCACATTGCAGTTCCTATTCAATCTCAGGATGATAATGAAGATTTTGCGCAAGAATTGGAAGAATCAACTATAAGTAACAATGAAACCTGCTCACCAACTACTGATAATCTGCTAAGTGAAGTGATCGAAGCAACTGAAGTGACCGAAGTGACCAAAGTAACCGAAGTGACTAAAACAATCAAAGAAAACATAGTCGATGAGGCTGAAACTTCTGATGAAAAAAAAAATTGATCAAATGTAATTGAGAACTGGGTTGGAATGTTAGACAGTGAAAATCGGTTAGAAAATAGTGAAATTGTAGATGATGAACTATTTGAATTTGAATTTGGTAGATACACTACTCACCTAGCAGATAATTCATTAGCAAAATAGAATTTGTTGAAATTATTCAATAATTCATTAGATTCGCCTATTTCTTTTGTTCTTCAATAAATTTAATTAAATGTAATAAGTTTATATTGATATTAAAAATCATAGGAGTTTTGAAAATTTTAGTAGTTAAATAAAATAAATTGCTTTAATTTGACTTCAATTGATTTGGAAATAATTTATACGCAGTACTTTAAATAATTGAAAAACAATTAGCATACAAAATTGAAAAACAATTAGTGTACAAATTTATATTATGTACTATATAAATTATTACTTATTAGTTGTACTTACTTATTTTAATATGCGCAGAAAATCATCGGCACTGTATAGATTTTTTTATTATACGTGATTTTTAAATATAAATTCAGACTTGTTATACGTATATATGTACAACCTGCAATCTAATAAAAAAGTTAATTCGTAATTTTTTATAGTCATATTTGTATTAAATAACTAATCACATTTTTAATAGATAATTCAAATGACTATAACAGGTCATTGGGTTTTTGAAATGATCCAATGACTAGTCACTAGTCATTTGAGTTATTTGAGCTATTTCAAGTTATTTACTACTTGCAGTCAGAGTACCTTCCAACTTTGGAGAAGCATTGTCATTAAACCGCTGAGCTGATAGAAGAGGATCATACCTGTATTGATGCTACTCTTGCATTCTGAAACTACTATATCTAGCTAAGCCTATATTCTCTGCTTCTACCATCTTGCTTCTGTACAACTTTCAAATTGGTAAAATTCAGATTATAGATCTTTATGATTGCTCAGTTTGGTGTATCGTGTTATTGTTTTCCCTAAGATATTCTGATATTGGTCCAGGATCTGTCGAAACTCGTATCTCAAGCCATAAACTGCTGCCTAGTTAGATTTATCACATAGTAATATTGGTATTTTATTGTCAGATAATCTCTACTACTTATCTGTCCAGGTACTACTAACCTATATCTCAAACCAGTTTTTGCTATCGCAGCTCGACTGCAGATATCCAGATCTTAACGTTATATAGTTACTTGATGCCTTCTTCAGTTCTTTTAAGTACTACTTGCTATAGTAAGTTTAGAACATATTTTACAAGTATCCAGAACAATTCTGGTTATACCCAGTGAGTTCACTGATCCTAGTGATGCTATACTACCATATAATACTTGCTTCCAGCATATTGTTATACAATATCAAGACAATTCTAGTTATTCCTAGGGAGTTATACCGATTCTAGTGATGCCGTACTACCATTTGTTATTGTAAACTCCAGAGGTTGGTAGATTCTAGATTTGTTTGTCATAGGTTTCATATAGGTGTAATTGAAGCCTGATTCAGTATTTTTATACATATACAGAATGTCAAACAACCTTCATAATCTTAGCCTTCTATAGTATCTTCATTCTGCTTTTGCCAGAGATGCTTCTGATTCTGATAAGGCCAATCCTTTACCACAGACCATTCACATATTTGTCACTTTTCTCACCACTTCTAACTTTGATTATAATGATTACGCTCTCAAGCAAGTATTCGTATCTTCTTTTCAAATAAGAACTTATTTGCGCAATTCGTTAATCACTCTTCTAAGCAAGTATTCCACAAGTTGGATGCAGGGATGTTGGTATTGCCAAACTTAAAGATACAAGGATGTTAGTGCTACCCTGTTTCTTAAAGACTTATTCATGCAATCTTTATAGTTATAGTTTTCTGTAACACTGTAGTTATACATAGTGCTAATACTCCATATTTAGATCTTCTTTCAGGAATTCCTATTCCAGCTTCATACCTGCATTTGGACTTGGCCACAGAGCTCTGTATTCAATTATAGCCTCTAAAGGTTACAGAAACAAATTATTCAATTTGCCTCCAGCCCAACTATATATGCCACCAAAATAGGTTTTCAAAAAACCCTATTTCGTCTCTATTAGAGCAATTTAGAATTTTTTATATACAAGAGCAAATCTAATTTAGGTAGTTATATTCTTTTTAATTTCATCTCTTCAAAAAAAGTGTCAAAAAATTTGTCTTTTAAGTAAAATAAGTCAAAAACAATTTCGTCTTCAAATTTTAATTTTGTACCCCAAAATCTAAATTAATTTCATCAGCATGTATAAGCCTAACTTGAATCATCAACCTTGTCTGTAGAGGTTTGAAAGCTTAACCAATAAGCTACAGGACCCAAACTCCTTAAAATTTTATTAAGTAAATCGATTTTGTATATTAAATAAAAAATGTTTTTCTAATCAAAATAGCTCTAGTTTCA